TAGATTATTGTTATGTCATAAAAACAACCTTAGCTTGTTGTTTTTCTTTTATAGTTGATATCCAAGAAGAGAAATGGCATTTTCTTTAGCGTCGTCCAAACTGTGTAACTTGCCCTAAATCTTCTCAAAACAAACCAGCTCCTTTTTAAGATTCATCCTTCTTTACTGGCTTTTGGTCTGGGAGTTTGATACTTTAGGGTTATTTGTTGTATGCTATACATTTACAGTTTTATTACTTTTTCCACTGCATATTTTCTGCAATATCATCAGTAACAATCCCCAATCATGTGAAAGGTTGTCCCTTATTATAATTAATTTAAATTAGATGTCCATGACTTGGCTGAAAATGTGATTCCATTTAGCTCTTAGCTCTGTCTGTTGTTGTTGTTGTCCCTTGATTCTCAAGATCCTAAAACAACAAACTCAAAGTCTAAAGAGACGATTTTCTTTTGCTTCAGCTCATTTTGCATGGGAATACGTGGCGGAGTTTTCACTCTGACTTTTGCTCGCTTGAACGTTCGTATAAGGAGCCATCTCTTCAGGACTCTGATGAGCCAGGAAATAGGCTTTTTTGACAATAACCACACAGGTAATATATGAACTCAGTGATCTTTTAACTATCCTCTCATTGAGGCTGGCTCAGTGAGTGGTGGTGTTTTTTTGGCCAACCATCTGTTCATTGCTCCTGTCAACATTCCCACAGCCAGTGAGACCAGTGTCATTGAACTGTCTAGATAAATTTTCTACATAAATTTAAAAATCAAGTTTGCTTTCTTCTAATTTTGCCACTCATCAAAACCCAAAGGTGACATCATCTCCCGACTATCAGCTGACACCACGCAAGTGAGTGACCTCATCTCCCAGAACGTCAACATCTTCCTGCGGAGCCTCATTAAGGCGGCAGGATTCTTCGTCTTTATGTTCAGAATTTCCTGGAAGCTCACTATGGTGACGATCCTGGCCTTTCCTTTTATTGGCTTGGTTTCCAAAATTTATGGAGAATTCTACAAGGTAAAGTAGCTCTGTCTTTGTGTCAACACTGTATTCAAAGGGATACACTGATGCAGAGTTTTTTTCTCATTTAATTTTAAGAATTTGACCAAAGAAGTGCAGACAACTCTTGCAGAGGCAAACAGAGTGGCTGAGGAAACAATTTCATCCATGAGGACAGTAAGAAGTTTTGCCAACGAGTGTGGGGAGGCAGATGACTACTGTTCTAAGCTTTTAGCCATGTACCAGCTAAACAAAAAAGGGGCATTGGCCTACGCCTGCTACATGTGGTGCAGCAATGTAAGTATCAGTAGGATCTAATGAGCTGTAAGGTTATGTTGGAAATCAACTGTATATATTCTAAGAAATCTGCTGACAAGTAGATGGCTTGAAGAAAACTGCTTACACCTGACATTGATTTACATTTCTCCTCGGTTTGCGTTACCTTAGGTTTTACAAAATCAGAAAAAGCAGAGAAGTTTATGCGTATGCTGCATGGCAAAAATCTTACACAATTAAAACTGTTTGTCCCAGAAATAGATAAATCTGGAAAAAAGTTCCAGAAATGTTTCGCTAATATTTATTCTTCACGTCTTCACATTATCCTTCTCATCTTTGTGGCAGGAGTTGGAGCCAGTGGTACCGGTAGCTATCATTGGGCAGGCTAGAACCTGGACAGTTCATGACACTACATTTAAAGATAAAACATCATTCACACTCAGGACATAAAAATAGCCCCTCTGAAAATCAATAACAAGAAGACTTCACCACATTCCCTAATTTTTGCCAAAAATATTTCTCTTGAACAAATCTTAAATTTAGCCTGGAATTAGCCAAAACTTTAGCTATATTGCTAAAAATTTGATAAAAGACAGAGTAGAACTTGCTAAATTTCTGCCAAATATACAGAATAGCAAATAGCCAAGATAACAAACATATATAGAATATTGCCCAAAGATCAGCAAAAGTTGATTTTTGACATTGCAAAAGACAATGCAAATGAGAAGATATATAATTATATTTTCTTTATTTCAGATTTCACAACTTGCCCTGGAGGTGACTGTTCTCTACTATGGTGGTCATCTTGTTATTACCCATCAGATGACAAGTGGAAATTTAATATCTTTTTTCATATACATGCTCCAGCTTGGAGAATGTCTGGAGGTATATTATTCTTTAATTTTTTAAACAATGATTCCAGTTCTCTCCCCTCTGACCACTGCCTTGTTTGACATCTTCCAGAGCATCGCATCAGTTTATACAGGCCTCATGCAGGGAGTCGGGGCTGCTGAGAAGGTGTTTGAATACCTGGACCGAAAACCCAAACATCCAGCTGATGGCACTGAGGCTCCAGAAAAATGCACTGGTCTGGTTGAATTTAAAGATGTCACATTTGCCTACCCAACACGTCCTGATATAGATATTCTTAAGGTATGTTCCAAACCTTGATACATAAAGGTTAGGTGTGACTTTCAATGTGTTACTCTTTATATATATGTGAAAATATAACCAAAATTAAAACATCTTCTTTCACAGGGAGTTTCATTCACCCTGCAGCCAGGAGAGGTCACTGCTCTTGTAGGACCATCCGGGAGTGGAAAGAGCTCCTGTGTCAGTCTACTGGAAAATTTCTACCTTCCACAGCAAGGTCAAGTTCTGCTGGATGGGAAACCTGTTTACACCCTTCAGCACAACTACCTCCACTCCAGGGTTTGTATATTTACAGAATTCAAGTAGTCGTGTAGCATTTATGTTTAGACCAAACATTTGTGGGTATTCCTGAAAAGAGAGATTTTCCAACTCCAGCTTAAAATAGGACTAACCCTCAAATACAAGAATAAACCAGTCCACCCTTAGCAAATTCTTAAAAACACTGCTGTTGTTGTTCGAGAGTAACAGTAAAACTTGCTGTAAACGTGCTGTATAAAGCAGCAATTACCACTGTATTCCTCCCCTGGGAAAACAAGTAAAATGAAAGTCCACATTAGCAATTCAACTGCCTTAATTTTGGATACATCCGACGCCAAGCAAATAACTTACTTTATGTAAATGATTCACTCTGACAGAAATTAATTGGAATGTGTATTCTAGTCATTTACCACTGTGCTTTATGACAACATTTCTGGTTATGTTATGTTTTACCAGTTCTTATTGTGTTTCTACAGGTGGCTCTTGTGGGCCAGGAGCCTGTACTGTTTGACAGGACAGTTGAGAAAAACATCACATATGGCATGAGTGACATTCCCATGGACGCTGTGATGCAGGCTACATTAAAGGCTAACGCTCATGACTTTATAACTAACCTCCCTAAAGGCTACGAGACAAGTAAATACTCTATCCCCATATATGTATTATAATGAATGGAGTCCATCTACTTGCCTATCGTTAATAACTATCCTGGGAAAGTCCTGGGTCTAAGTAATGTGTGTGTGTGTGTGTGTGTGTGTTTTCCTAGGAGTTGGAGAAAAGGGCACTCAGTTGTCAGGCGGACAGAAACAGAGGGTGGCCATCGCCAGAGCCCTCATCCGGAACCCACGTGTTCTTATCTTAGATGAGGCGACCAGTGCTTTGGATGCAGAAAGTGAGCACATGGTGAGTCCACATAACAGTTAGGTTTGTTTAATACTAAATGTCATGAAGAAAAGAAACAATCGATTTTAAAGTTTAATCACTGATTTATTCCCATAACTGCCCCGTGCAGGTTCAGCA